AGAGAGAGAGAGAGAGAGAGAGAGAGAGAGAGAGAGAGACTGACTCTGTTGTCCAGAATGAACTCCTGGGTTTAAGTGATCCTTCCACCTCGGCATCTGGGGCTGCTTTTCCAGAAGGCACCTTGACTTGGAACACTGATCATACAACTGCAGACCCTTCACTATCTGCTAAACAGGCCCAAGCGGGGGCGAGGGCAGCCACATTAAGAGCACGTGAATGTGATCTGGAGCTTAGACTGAGTCAGAGATGTTAACCAGGTGACAATTCACTGCGGAACAACTCCAAACCAACTAGAAGTTTAGCAATGGATGAAGGAATCTATGGGGTGTTAAGTGGTCACTGAAATGCTCAGGACAGACCGGAACAGAAAAAGCAGGAGTACCAAGAAAAACAACGTGCCAACCCAGACATGACGGTGGCTTTGGGGTAGGGATTTTTTTTTTCTGACACTTCACACTTTTAAATTTTTTAATAAGGAACACATATGCAATCTGGAAGTATTTTTACAATGTATCATTTCTATAATGACGACTACAACTCCCCACCCCCTTAGCAAATAATCCACCATCAGGGAGTGGTTCCTTTTCTCTGTCCTAGGATGGGTGGGCTCCACACACAGTAGGAAATTCCTATCACCACAATTCCAGAAGAACTGTGTCACTATGTTATATTGTCCTCTCAACCACAAATAACTGTAAGGTTAAAATTACCTGACAGAGGGTTATTGCAAAAATACTGGCTGTAAAGAAATTTAACCTCCAATATGTAATTTCTTTATCAGATTTTTGATGGACACTTTTTCATTTGCTAAATAGTATATTATATATAGAAAACATAGATGTATATATAAAAACACAATACATAAAATAACTTACTTTCTTTTCCTGATTTCAAAAGCAAATTGCTCGCTGGGACTTCCACTTGGGAAGGCGAGATGCAGGTAGCTTCCCTCTTCCTCCCTCTAAACCCAACTGAAGCCCTGGACTCTGAGACTCGAGAAGACCAGGGCAGCGAGAAGATCAGCCCGCGAGGGATCGGGGGTCCAGGGAACAACAGGCTGGACGGTAGGTTTTCTTTCAACTAATATGTTCTAGACTCAGAGCCAGAGAAGCCAGCAACCTGGAAATGCCACCAGGATCAGAAGCAAAAGTCCTCCAAAGGCTGCTGTGGGCCTAAGGATGAGGAGGAGCACAGCCCGGCAAGATAACCTTCAGACCCAAACACGGAAGAGCGCTGCAAAGGCTGAGCAGGAGCTGGCTTCCGCACTCACCAGGCCATGCCACAGGGCTCCAAGGCCACTTAGGGGTGGCACGCCAGGCAACGGCACAGGAAACAGGGACAAGGCTCACCTGCCCCAGCCAGCCAGTCAGCATCAGCACAGGTCTAGTGGGGCCACCCTATCAGGGAGTGCCTTCCCTCCACAGGTGTCAATAAAACAAACCAGAGAACCAGAGTGCCACCTGATGGGGAGCAGCTCCCCTCCCTGAAGGAGCCACGCTGCAGGAAGCCGCCCAAGCCAAAGGTTCAAAGAAGACCCAGTCTCCTAACATGATGCCCAAAATGTCCAGCTTCCAATTTTCAAAAAGCACTCATTGCATCAAAAACAAGAAACAGTCACTGACCTTTCGACATTGACTGGCTTATCAAATTTGAACAAGATGTAGTCTCCAGCTATGGGGGTGATGGCCCAGAAGAAATCCTCCCCCATGTACGTTTTCTCCAGTGTGTGTCCTTGGTAAACCTTCAAGGAAGTAGACACCTCGGCAGGAGGGTTGACATGGATCTTGAGAAGTAATGGTTTCATGTAATCTTTATCCTAGCAGGAAAGAGACACGCCATTAAACAACACCTGCAGAAAATTACCAGCTACACACTGAACAACAAATGGTACATCATGAGAAAATCCAATCAAATCACTAACCGTGAGTTTCTGAATTTTTCCCGACAGTGATGAATGCAGACCAACGTGTTGGAAAAGGGACGGTCTGAAGCGAATGCGTAGGTTTGCTTTCTGTCTATCACAATGTTTCTAAATATTAAAAAAAAAAAAAAGTGCTATTGTTATATGATAAAGTGAGACCTTGTCCTTATCTGGAAAAATGAGAAGTCCTTTAGAAGAACACTGAAATCACAATTCCAGAGCATGTGATTTTTATGGTCCCCTTTGAGGTGTGAAGAGATTGCTGCACACCTGACAAAAGGCCATGATCCGGGGTTTAAAAATGGCAACAATAGGGGCTGGGGATGTGGCTCAAGCGGTATCGCGCTCGCCTGGCATGTGCGGGGCACTGGGTTCAATCCTCAGCACCACATAGAAATAAAATAAAGATGTTGTGTCCACCGAAAATTGAAAAATAAATATTAAAAAAATGGTAACAATAAGCCCAGCTAAGGGAAGAGCAGAGGGCTGGTTTCACCCATCCTTCAAGGCAGGTCAATAAAGATTTAATTTTGAAGGTTAAAATGCACCAACTTTGGAGGTTCCAAAATATCTTTAAATCAGGTAATAAAGAATTTGCCAAATATCTTTAAATCAGATAATAAAATAAAAAAATCTGCAAGTACTAAGAGGCACACATTGTTGGAATGTGAAGGTGGTGAACAGCTTTGTGTCCTATAATAAAAAATCCTGCAAGTCACACAGAAAATATAACTTAAGGCCTATATCTTAAAAATGGTTTGTTCAAATCAATTTATATGCTGAATTACTGTTAGAAAGTTCACAGATACTCCACTACTTCTCTGTGGTCCATGATTTGCTCTAAGAATTTATTGTTTGTAGGTTTTATTGTTGGTTTTTTAAACAAAGAGAACGCAACAATATCTCAAGGACCCCAGAAGGCAGAGTCTTAAAAACCAGCAGGCAGGATGATCAAAGCTCCCAGGACACGGGCCTGAAGCCAGATTTCACAAATAAGGCAACCCCCTAACAACAGGGCTTAGAATATTCACTCAACATTATGTGTTACAATTGATAAGAATTGACATGTTTATATTTTGATTATGCTTACACCAAATACATAAAAAGTTGAAGAATTATATTCCCCCAGAGGTATGATTCAAATTGGACAAGGAAATAAATCTTTTTTTTTTTTTAATGCGGTGCTGAGGATCGAACCCAGGGCCTCATGAGTGCAAGGCAAGCATTCTACCACTGAGCTACAATCCCAACCCTCTATTTACTTTTTATACTAAGAATTTTGGAAAGAATTTGCTGTCTGAGTGTCTGAAGCAAAAGCTGTCATTCACTTACTTATCTGCCACCCTCATCCTAAAGGTGAGCACACTGCTATGTTGCTAGCAGTCAGACACCAGAAGTGCCTTGACTTATTATTTTGGCATAGGTATTACTTCTATCTTATTCATTATTCCAGATAGAGTCTGATTTGTCCCCAAAGTATTTGGAAAATGAGGATTGGCAGAGAATAAGAAGAAAACAAACTGAAACACCCACAGGACAGGTGGGATCAGTATTAACAGCCAATAACAGAACAGAGAAAGGCCACTGTCCTGCAACAGGCTTCCCTGCTTCAAGGGGTTTCCCAATATTTTAAAAGTCTTCGAAACATTGGAATTTTTCACCAATTTGAGAAAGACCACAAGCAGTGGAAACACCGCCTTCTCCCAGCTGCCTCATTCAACTGTCACTGGCCAAATCTGGCTCCCCAAAACCCACAAAAGCCACATTCATTCAGAACAAAATAGAGTCGCAACTCCCACCCGCCTCCCGCAGAATTAACTTACTGCATCTTTTTCAGGGTTACAGACTTTGACCCAGAGAATGTGGTCCAGGAGCCAATCGATGGGTTTCTCCTTATAGAACATAAATATGAATTCTACGATCAGAGTGAGGTCTGGCGCTTGGAACATTTTACCTGAAAAGACAATAAAGAAACAGGTCATCAAAATCATACGTGAAATCTGAACACTAAGCACATTGATCAAAGCTAGTGCTCTCAGCTACAAATCCCCCTATCTCCCACTTGCACCATCAAAAACAGACAAACTCGCTCTAGCTAGGCATCTACTCGCTCAAGCTGTCACCTGGGTATACACAGAAGTAGTGACCTCCTGACATTATTACAAAATCTATCACTACTGGCTCAAAGGAGTCAAAGAGCAAGTCAGAGTCTTCTTTCATGTCTTACTAAGATTCTTCCTATAAAGAAAGGAACAAGAGAGGTTTAGGTAAAAAGAAAATTATCTAAATCAATAAATAAAAAAGAACAATGAAAAGGAATCCCAATTGTGTTTTTAATGAAACCTTCACAAGATGTTTCTGAATCTTAAATAAGTTCTGAGCTGAGTGACCAACAAGGTCAGAGATCCAGGTTCCAAGACCTAACTTTTTAAAATAACATCGGAAGTGAAATGTCTGAGTACTTTTTAAAAACACATAAATTTCCTTCAAGTCTGAAACTTGAAGCATATTCTCTTCATTGGCTAATTTAGGAATATTAAACCTAAAAGGTCTTAAACGAGTACCCCAAGCCATTAATGAAAAAAACAAAGTGAATAAAAAGGAACCCTCTCTGAATGCCAATCCTGGGGTGACAACGGAACTGCTGGGTGTCAGGAGAAGAAACCAGACATGCTCCTAGGACGGAGGCTGGCACGGTGTTGGTCTCTGGATACTCCAAACTCTGTCTGGGGCTGACTTTCATCTTTTCAAACTAAGAAACGGACATATGTTCAAAAACAATCCATTCCCATAGTGGGGAAAAAAGCAAATTTAAGATCAAAAAAAGCAATTGGTTTAAGATTCTGAGAATCAATTATTTTTCTGAAAAGTAGATAAATCTTATACTTTTCTTACCAATGAAGCCCAGCTGGGAAAATTCTAGAATCATCCATTCCTCAGAAGAAAGTTGGAGTGCAAAATTTTTTATAGTATTAAAATAATTCTGTTTGACAATAATGTCATCTTCAAGCTAGAGAAAATTGAACAATCATATTAATAAATCAAAAAATTAACATGCAGATAGGACATTATTATGGAAAAACTCAAGCATACTTTCATCAGAAAAGTCAAGAAAACAATGGTCAAGAAAAAAAAAGTCATGAAAATACAAAAACTAGACTTCACTAAACATATTCAGAAAATAAAATGGAAGACACACACTGCGGTTCAACTAAATAACTCCTTTTCTATGGGAATCACTGTCCCTTTCCATCAACGGGTCCCTTTTGGTTCTTTTATGATGCTGAAGATTTAACACTATTTTTCCCCCTTTCAAAGGAAAATAAGTTTTTCAGTACTTTTAAATTTTTGCTTCTAGTCATGAAGTTAAAGAAAAGCCAGCAGCTTTCCTTCTCTACCCTTACCCTGCTAGTTAACCTATGTGAAAAGCTGGGTGGACATGCATTTGACACCTTCTGAATGCACATACAGACCAATATATGAGGTTCCCATATGCCAGAGTTTGGATCTACTAACTTCCCAAAGGCCACGTTTTGAAGACTTGGTTCCCAGTCCATGGCACCATGGGAGGTAGTGGGGCCTTTAGGAGGTGCCTGGTGGAAGGAATCAGGTTACTGGGTGTGTGCCCTGAAGGGGCTATTGGGACATTGGCCCCTCCTCTACCTTGATCTGCTTTCTGGCTGCCATTGGTCAATAATTTTGCTCCTTTGCACACTTTCCACCATGATGTTCTACTTTGCCAAAAGCCCAAAGCAACAGGGCCAAGCTGCCATGGACTGAAACTTCTGACACTGTGAGCCAAAAGTAACCTGTTCTGTTTGTAAGCTGATTGTCTCGTATTTGTTACAGTAACGGAAAGCTGACTCCCATACCATCCCTTGTGTCAATTTTATAAAAAGGATCATACCATGACACTGACATTTTTCTCTTAACACATCATGAGTATCTTACCAAGTAATAAACATCTACTGAAGTCATTTAGTTTAACAGTGTCTCATGGTTTATTCAGCTCTTCCCTGCTCACAAGCAGACATTCAGGTTGTTTCCTAGTTGTTGTCCACACAATGCTGCAATACTTACGCTTATACCTATATGTTAGTGCATTTCATTCCTGTAGAACACATCCCTAAAAGTTCCTTTTATATTAATAAACACCTACAAAATATTGAGAGCTGTGGCAATTCACAGAGTGCTAGTTCCCCTGGGCTTTGCCAGTGCCCAGCGCACTGTGTGTGTGGAGTGTTGGCCAATACCAGAGAAGACAGAAATGGGGACCTTGGCCTGTGGAGAGCCCTCCTCCCCAGAGTCTCCTCTTACCAAACTGCATTTTGTTTCTGTTTCTGGCAGGACTCGGGTTTCAACCAGGGCCTTGTGCATGCTGGGCAGGCGCTCTACCACTGAGCTGCATACCCACCCTTCCCTCAAATATCAAAGCCACAAAAATATTTGATATCTGTAAGGTCCTTGCTTAGCATGTGGGTGTCCATCTTAAATGACAGCCACCATTTAAGGCTTTCCCGCCCAAGGATCTTTCTGAGAAAGGCTCACCACTCCCTCATACCAGCCCCACCCTTAACTGCCCACATTAGGACACTCCAAGCTCTAATCCCTGAGCCCCCCCCCCAATAAAAGCCCAAACCTCAAGCCTGTGCCTCCTCTTTCCGTGTATGGAGAGATGGCCTTTATTTGTCAGCTCTCACCAACTCTTGTGTGTATCTCTGCCAAGTCTCCATCTTTCATTTCTTGCTGCCTGTCTCCCGGTTCCTCGCTTTCCTTTCAATAGCCTAAGAATATTTTTCCTTTTCTGATTTCAGTTATCATTTCTCATTACCTGAGTAATATTTGTCTTAGTGTTTGATTTTTCATGTACTTCAATACTGCGGGTTTTCTTCTTCCTATCCATGAAGAAGTACAGTGTTTGGAAAGGTACGCTATTGATGGGCTTGCCAACTATTTATTGAGCTTCTGTTGTACTGTGGACTAGTGATGAGTCCAAGGCCATCACTGAACAGGAAAGATGCGATTTACTTCCTTGGAGCCCAGAGGGGCTGAAGGGAAAGGCAGGCAAAGCACAGAGCCAAGTGACATTCAACCTTGCTTTTGGCAACAAGAGACACCTCCACTCATGCCTGAATGGCTATGCCCCACAGGAAGGACACAGAAGAGATGCATGGCAAGGATCCCCTCCAGCCCTTGAAGACCCACTGCAGCTGGCCGCCTCCCTGACCTGGGCCGCCAGGGCCTGCTCTCCACCTCCCAGTTCTGTCTCCTCCTTATGAGGGCTACGTAAATGGAATCACACTATGTAACCTCTGAGACTATGTAACAGTGAATCCCACCATTGTGTATAAACGCATCATTAAAAATATGGAAAAAATTTAAAAGAAAATATCCAATTAATGAAGAGGATTGTTCTCATTCAGAACAATTGTTCTCATTCAGAACAATTCCCTAAGATCCAAGCTGTGGATCAACAGTTTGATTCTGTTGGTTGTTTAGTATCCTACGTATGGATGTATCAATATGAAGTCACCTTATTGGCATCAGGTCAACACTGGCATTAGATCCGCCATTTCAGGTAGGCAGCCATTTTTATCTAAGGAGTCCTAGATTTCGATTTAGGAGCCATTTTATCTAGAGATCCTGAGGAACTGCTGCTTGGCCTCCCAAAGAACATGTGCCTACTAAAGGGTCCACCACATCCCAGCCCATGACATAACCCCTAAAGCAAGCTTGTGAAATTGCTCTTGCAGGTTATAAAGATGCTCTGTAAGTGACACTCACTTCTGCTCCCCTCAGAGGGACAGCCTTGTCAGTTTGCTCCATGCTCTGACAATAAACCTCGAGTGGTATTCTGGTGTGTGGTGTAGTTCTTGGACTTTTCGAGTGTCCTTTCACACCAGCTGAAGCACAGCTGGGTGACCTGCAGTCTGGGGGCAATGAGTACACTGCTGCTCTGAAGACATGACAGATTGTTGGTGGACAGAGTGCTTCAATGACATCAATGTCTCATGGCAGGAGCCACCATGAAGACTGATGTGCCTCATTAGTGACTGCAAGTTTACAGAGGAAACAAGATACAAAATACTGTTTTTACACTATGCAAATGTAATACTGGAGAAGGGAATGCTCTAAACACATACCTGCTTAAATTTTTAAAAGCTAGAATGAGAAACTAAAAACTGTGGTGGGGGCTGGAGCTTTGGCTCAGAGGTAGCGCACTTGCCTGGCACGTGTGAGGCACTGGGTTCAATTTTCAGCACCACATATAATAAAATAAAGGTCTATCAACAACTAAAAAATATTTAAAAAAAAAATACTAGTGGTGGGGGCTGGGTATGTGGCTCAAGCGGTAGCGCGCTCGCCTGGCATGCGTGCGGCCCAGGTTCGATCCTCAGCACCACAAAGTTGTTGTGTCCGCCGAAAACTAAAAAATAAACATGAAAAAAATTCTCTCTCTCTCTCTCTCTCTCTCTTTAAAAAAAGAAATACTAGTGGTGGGCACCCATAGGAGAGGGAGGAACCAGGGTAAAGAGGGATAAAAGTGAGATGTTGGTGACCGTACCTTCTTTTTATAAAAGTTCCGATTTTGAAATGCGAGGCTCTATGTAAAAAAAGAAAACTCTAAAAACTGAATATAAGCCAAAACAAACAGACCTAGTTTCATATCAAGTTGGCACCACAGTCACACAGGATAAAGAACCACTCAGGTGACTTTCAGAAACCATACTTTGACTATATATACACACCATGATTTACTCTATGGGGAAGTAAGCACAAAGAAAGTTCAAACTGCATTTGGAAGTCTTATTGTTAGTAGTGATATTAATATTTTGAAATCATTCTAGAAGCCATTTTACACTATATAGCAAAAAATATATCAGGATCAATCATGCTATTATAAACCAAGACTTTCAGTGTAAGAGGAAAAGAAAGAAGTATAAAAAAATTAAATGAAAACCCTCTAATCACATCTGAACTGGAAATATCAATACACACTTGTGCAGTTTCTTTCTCTGAAAAACACCCTCTTCCTTGCTCCAAGTCCTAGAAGCAGAGACACAACAGCAACCAGCATCTCAAGTGCCCAGATCATGTTCTTAGCCATCACATGCCTTTGAGAGGAGCAGGCACCTGAAAGTGACCGATTCCTGATCTGGGAAAGGAAACATGCAAGATGGGCCAGCCAAGGAAGTAATCAAAGATCCTGAACTTATAGAAAGGAAATAATAGCCAACCTATGAGGCTCTTCTTTATCACACTGGTGTACCAATGTGAGCATTGGTAAGAAAAAAATTAATAGACAGAATCAAGCATTTATTCTGCCTTTTCTTATTGAACTATTTTTCAAAGTAACCAAATAGCTGAGAAAAGAAAATTCTTTATAGAAAAACTCGGCTTCAAGGAACATCAGTGAAGTAGAAAATTACCACTTGAGAACCTTTAATAAAATAATCTAGGGAGAGATCACCAGTGGAGACTGAAACCCTCAGAAGAGTGGATCCTGGGAGCTTCTCCTGGGGATGAGGCGGGCACACAGAGCCCACTGCCAACCTCAGCACCACTGTCAGGGGGGCCACCTCACAGGTGAGGTATCAGGAGAATACGGCACCCCATGAAGTTCCAGAACCATCTAAGTCTTCCAGAAGACACTGTCTTCTAGTCATCAACGAAGCACTTTATGAAACCAGGAATGACAGTGTCATGGTAAACTTCATTCTGAGCTGCAGGCCTAACACCAGGACAGCTGGCATTCCCAGACCCCCTCGAGTGTATGTCCTTGGTGGTGCCAAGCAACGCCCAACTCTGCTGCCTTTTTAAAGGAAGCCTCTGAAAGTTTTGAGTATGACATTCCCCTCTCCTGTAACCATGAAGCCACTTTCCTAGGGGATCACAGCAAGGTCTAGAATAAATTCCTTTGCTCCCTCGACCTTCATCCTAATACTTCAGATGTTCCCAGGTGACCTCTTTCCTTCATACTAACATACCAGAGGACTTTTTAGGCTAAGATGTTTTTAACACTAATACTCTGTAGGTAGGTCATCTGACCTCATTAACAGAATTCTGCATAATTTAAGATTGTAAAGACTAAATATAAAGCAATTTCCTCTTTCCTGAGGCATAAGTTTGGGGAACATACAATAATTTTAAGAAAATTCATGGAATTCATATTAGTAAGAGCTGAAAATTTAGAAACAATCAGCAATAAGATGATATCTGAATAATAGTACTTCAAGAAATAAGTAAAAATTACATTTTAACAAATGTTAAAAATAACAAAACAGGCTATCAGACAGTATGTACAGTCTGATCCTGAAACTGTAAGAGAGTTATTAGACATCAGCAAGAGAGTGAAATAGGGAATTCCAAGTCTGCTTCCTCCCCCACACAGACACAGATTTAAAATTGGTGGATTCAAAGCCCTCCCTTGGGCGTGGTACCGTGTGACTGCAAAGAACTCCCAACTTCTGATTCTCCCTGGATCAAGAAAGGAGCAGATGTATCCCTAAAAAATGTAAGACAATGGATATATCTCTCAAGGGACTGGTTTTTATCTTGTCTTAATCAAAGCAGGGAGTAGAACAGAGCACCACATCAAGGACCAAGAACAAAGGCTGTCCATTAGCACCAGAGGCTGCAGTTCCACAGACAGACACTAGGTTGAGCTCCAGGACTATGGCGCTACCATAATCAAGCTGTCAAAAGTCAAAAAAAAAAAAAATCTTGCAAACCCATCATACACAAGAGAGTTTCTATTAGTGTCAGAAGACTTCTGAGAAGAAACACTGCAGGCTTGAAGGGACTAGGATGGTATATTCAAAATGCTAAAACCAAAATAACCAATGAAACAAGAATACCTGGCAAGAGAGAAGTTAAGACTTCCCAAGATAAGAGCTGAGTGAGTTCAGCACCAGGTTTCTTACTGATAAAGAAAGTCCTTCAGCTTAAAGTGAAAGAATGATAAATAGCAACAAACACTACAAAAATATAAAGCTCCCTGGCCAAAGTAAATATATAGACAAATATAGAATTCTGCAGTAAGGTAATGCAGTTGCATAAGTCATTTTAAATCTTATACAGAATTTTTAAAATCAAAAGCATAAAAGTAATCATAAATCTATTGTTAACAGATGAGCAATATAAGAGAGGTAATTGAGACAAAGAATAACAAAAGGCAAGGGGACATACGTAAAGAAATATGAATTTTATACTGAAGTTAAATTATCAGTTTAAATAACTTTAAGAGGTTATAACTTTAAGAGGTTTTGTGATTGCAGTGATACCACAAAGAAAACAGATATACACAAAGAGGAATGAGAAGGGAATCATCATATATTATTTTAAAAATCAATAAAACAAAAAAGACAGCAAGGATTTTAAAAATGATCAACAAAACGGATAAAACGGTTATCCGGTTATCCGATAAAACGGTTGAGTGACTAAACAAAAAAAATGAAGACTCAAATAATTAAAATTGGTAATGAAAAGGGGAGCTACTTGGAGGCTGAGGCAGGAGGATTGTGAGCTCACGGTCAGCCTGGACAGCACAGCAAGACCCCACCAGTAGAAAAGGAAGAGGAGGAGAAGCAGGAAAAAGAGGAGAAGCAGGAAAAAAAGAGAAAAAAGAGAAAGGATGAGGAGGGAAGTGATGAGGAAGGGGAGAAGACGGGAAAGGAAAAATGAAAGAGGGCATTACAACTGGTAAAAGGGTTATAAAGATGACCAGTAATAATTATATGACAACAAACTGGATAACCTAGAATCATCAGGTAAGTCCCTACCAATACTGACCATGGAGAAATAAAAAGTTGAACACACTTATAACAAGGAGATTAAAGCAGTAATAATGAAAAATAAAATAAATGAATCTAAAAGAACATCTCCCCGCAAAGAAAAGCTTAGGACCAGAGAACTTGACTTAGGAGTTCTGCTAAGCATTTAAAGAATCG